CCTGTTTACTGTTTGTTTTGCACTGTTTACTACTGTGTGTATAATACATGTATGTTAATAAAGGATAACTTGTATAGTAGCGATGATATCTCTGAGTCTCATCAGTTTTCCAAGTTTTCTTGTTCAAGTTTTGCATTTGTTTTTTGTTTTTGTTTTTTCGATGAAATTGATTATGGATTTTGATAACCAAGCGCTTGGTTCGAGCCACTGTTCAACCGATGATCGAGTATAATCGATGATCGTGACATCACTAAGCGCTTGGTTCGAGCCACTGTTCAACCGATGATCGAGTATAATCGATGATCGTGACCCTTGACCCACTACCTTTGACCCTTGACCCCCAAATTGGTCATCGCGAGTCATTTTTACAACCCTCCCCCCCCCCTGGACGTCCCGAATATCGAGACCGTACGTCGAGCGGTTAAGATTTGTGCCCAACTGTTGACGGACGGACGGACGCACGCTCATGCGATTCTACAAACTGCATCTGACGTCCCGAATATCGAGACCGTACGTCGAGCGGTTAAGATTTGTGCCCAACTGTTGACGGACGGACGGACGCACGCTCATGCGATTCTACAAGCTGCATCGGACTTCGTTAGATGAGCTAAAAACATCAAATATTTAACCACCGCACTCACTATGTTTACATAATGGCATCGCTCAACTTGGGGCCGTGACGTCACATGACCTAGATTACTATTTTGGGGCCCGTTGTCAGAAACATCGTAAAGTTAATGCTAATGTTAATGCTAAGATAACACTTACGACTAATCAGTCTAATGTTAATGTTACGAGAGGAGCATTGATAGAAACACATCGCTGCTATTAGAAAATTTACGATAACAGGAACTACATAATTTGATGTCTCAAGGCTGCTGATTGGATGAGAATCGATCACAAAATTCAAATTCATACACATTTATTGTGCATCACAGTAATTTATGCATATTATGATGGCTAACCACATATAAATAATATTTGATGAAAAACGACACGGTCTTGAATTTATTCTGCACAACAAGACAAATCTCACACTGTAACACGAGACGCGAGAGTCGCGGTGGTCAGTACAAAAGTATTTAAAACAAGAGAACAAATGGCCTACACCATTTGTAAATGTTTTGACACTTTTGTTTTGCTTCACGATCGGTAGATAATTAATGTTTTTGACGTGTTTTTCAAGAAAAACACATGATATTACTCATTAATATAAAATATAATATCACTGTAATTGTAATTCTTATAGTCTAAATGTGTTATTTTCATCTTAATATTAAAGTTACGAGAGGGTCTGGGCTCTCGTAATGTTAAGAGGATATTTGCGAGGATTTTTCGTTCTCGTAACATTACGATGTTTCTGTCAACAGTTAACGAGTGGAAGTTAATGTTAAGACTAATGTTAAGACTAATTTTGTTTCTGACAATGGGCCCCAGCTAGGTGTTTATTACTAATTGGGCGCCGGATTGGAAATGGAATAGGTCATTGAATGTATTTATCTGTATAAAAACGTTACAGAAGTTAGAAAATTTGACTTCAATTGTCCTTTAATTGTAACTAGTATTAAATAATTTTAGTAAACAAGAAACCCAACTGTTCGACAAAAAAAATAAAATATATATAAACTTGTGTCTGGTCTACATTAAATGCATACACTACAGATTGTATATTTAGACAATGGAATTAAATTGCAAAACAAAGTCCCACATGTACATGGCGAAAAGATAGTAAGGACCTTGGCTTAACTTTTGTTGTTCTACTCATAACCATTTTACGGTAATTTTCTTTGAAGTTTCCACGTTCCAATATACTATTAAAGTGAATAAACTATTACTGTATTGTTTGATACATTCACGGGTAATATAGGTGAATAATTAAACCATTTTATCACCATGTAAAATCTCTTTCTTACGCTTGCACGCCGCATTACTTTTAGAGAACATTTCAAATTTATGAGGGCCATCTAAAATTTAGGAGGACCATCTAAATTTCAAACTAGATGGTCCTGTGGACCATCTCTTTTTTTCTCCTTATTTCTACCCCTGTTACCTGCAGGCATTTCTGCTAGACGACCGGAGATCTCACGCAAAGCCTCAGCCCAACGAGAGGTGGAATCGGCCATCATCGACACATTGTTCCCCATGTCTCTGTAGTACTCGGCCATCGTGATGCCTGGAACAATGCAACTACAAGTTAGTAACTATGGTAGCCATTCTAATTATTAGTGACCATATAACCCGATCTGTTATTTGCAAGCACAATATTGTCCGAATCACATTAGGAGAATATAACGACATACCTGTGTAGATAGATGCCTCACGAGCAGCAACAGGCATGTTGGAAGTGTTGGCGACAAGGGAAGTTCGCTTCATTATCGACTCTACTTTGCCATCCACCTCGCATGTTAGCTACACGAAGTAAAGCAGCGCATAAATTCTACCACATCACACTTTTTAGAAGATTGAGTGATAACAACTGATGAGCATAACAGTAAATTCATAGGCTGCTATACACCCATGATGAAACTATAGCATCCTAACAACATTGGGATCTATGCAATATGAAATTAACTTAGTGATACTGTCATATGAGTGTATAGCAGAAGCTTGTAGGCTAAATCGAATAACGTTAAAGCAATATACGCTAACTGAGTGAAACTGGTGCAAATAATATGTGTATAATGATATGATATATTTTACCTCGGGGAAGTCTCTTAGCACCTCAGACATTTCATTGCCTCTTTCTCCGCATCCGACGTACACGATGACATCAGAATTAGAATACTTGGATAGCGCCTGCGAGATGACAGTTTTGCCACAACCAAAAGCTCCAGGAATAGCGGTCGTACCACCTTGGACACATCTGAGGTATACATCATAAAACATCATTCCATAGTTTAGACCATCACCACACACACACACGTGAATATAGCCTCAGACCTATATTTTAGTTGTGTTGTCTGGTAAAACCTATTGTACACCTATTTGTGTGTATATATTATATTGAACCACCTGTACTTTATTGTACATGGGTGGCACCATCATCAGAATATGTGAGCAAGTCCCAGGTCACAGCAGTTAGATATCAGAGCCATAACGCCGTTACACTCACGGAAAAAGTGCATCCAGGACACGCTGGCCTGTCAGCAGAGGGTTGTTAGCAGCGAGCTTCTCTGTGACAGGACGTGGCTGCCTGACCGGCCACACCTGCAGCATGGTGAACTTTGACTTCTCACCGTCGAATTCCGTTTCCAGAATAACATCCTGTTGAAATAAGAAATAAAGTATAAAAATAGGTTAAATGTAAGAACAACAGTGATTGCGATGATGTGATTAAGCTATGCTATAATCTTCATATACCCACCATCTATATCTAATGAAATACACACTTATTTAAACAATACTCATAGACAACAGTACCATTTTGTACGTCAATTTAGTCTATAAGCAAATTAATAATCACATAACATAACTCGATTATTCAAATCATGAGCCCAGGATTATTAAAATTCTTAATAATCAAACTAAATAATTTAGTTTCAATACTGAACAGATGTGTTAAAATAATTTGACCAGGAAAATATCTTCCAATCACTAAAATAATTGTTGCTCTTTAGGTATAATAATACAACTGATACATTTAAGACCACACCCTCTTGGAAAAACACATGAAAACATTTCATGTTTCCTGCATAATAAAGGAAATTATGTCCCGTTCATGTTTAGGAATTTTTATGGCGCATACGTGGAATTGTCCATACATTATTTCATGGGTAGCATTTTCAGGTATGTGTACATAAAGTTACCTGTATTCTTCAATTGTAAAATACCTACATAATAGTTACATTTCCCATACATGAAATTTCCTACCTGGTACATGAGATTTTCCTGCTGCTTAATTGGAGACCAATAGCGTAATTGTCCCAATACATGAAATTTCCTACCTGGTACATAAGATTATCCTGCTGGTTAACTGGACAACAATAGCGTAATTGTCCCCATACATGAAATTTCCTACCTGGTACATGAGATTTTCCTGTTGGTTAATTGGAGACCAATAGCGTAATTGTCCCAATACATGAAATTTCCTGCCTGGTACTAAGATTATCCTGCTGGTTAATTGGACAACAATAGCGTTACTGTCCCAATACATGAAATTTCCTGCCTGGTATAGGAGATATTCCTGCTGGTTAATTAGACAACACGCCTTCCTGCAGTAGACTATATGTCAATAACTACGTGTTCATGATTTGGGGACCAACGAGCTTAAAGGACAATTGAATTTTCCAACTTCTGTAACGTTTTTATACATAGAAATACATTCAATAACGTATTCCATTTCAAATCCGGCGCCCAATTAGTAATAAACACCTGAATAGTAATCTAGGTCATGTGACGTCACAGCCCCAAGTTGAGCGACGCCACGCTAACGCAAGTTGAGTGTTGTGTAATAAGATGGAAACAGAAAGCAATAATTTCAATGATTATAGTGATTACTCAAATGATGATGATATTTATAGTGATTTACCAGTTGGATATAAGTTTGAGCCTGAATATACACAAGAAGAAATTGAGGAGAATCGTCTGAAAAAGCAATGCGAAGAGTCGGCATAAACTTCTCAAGAATCAGAACAGTCACAACATGGCGGAATGAAAGCTTCGGTACCCGATAGGACTGTAGACAAATACTGGTGTTCTTGTGGTGTTTGTGAATTAATGAGTATGGCACCTGAATGTATATGCTGCCATGAGAATGAGAACACCAGGGTTATTGTAGACCAGTTCGACGCTAGACCAGGTGAGTCATGCGAGTACACTGATCACCGGGCTTATCACGTTCGGTCAGAATCACATGTATCTGTACATGGACATGTATCTACGCAAGTCATGTACATATATATATACCGTGAATGCATTATCCACACAGGTAATATGTATGCACATGATTATAAGTACATTTACAGGCTACATCTTTGTGTCTTGACATGATAAATAAGCATGAGAAATAACAAACAAGAGCTGCAGAGCGACTGGGCTTATCTGAGGTCTGTTGCTACGGTTATAAACATAACATTTCAGTCGTGTGTAGTGACACCTTTGTTAGGAGCCTGTGATACTATCAGCCACCCACCTGACACGCAGCTAGGACCTGCATACCTCCCAAATCCCATTGGTTGATACAAATCACGTGCCTGAAACTCCTGTTTTATGGTGCATTGTGACCAGGGCTCGAATTAAGCGACGAGAAGGGCAAGGCAATTTTTTTAGGGCATGTGAGAAATCGCCTTGAATTTTCTCTAAAATGGAAGGGCACAGAGGCAATTTTAAAAGGCACCAAGGCAACTCTCAAAATTTGAGAAGAGCACCAAGGCACTTTTGTAAAATAAAGAAGACACTTAAACGTACGCGCCATCTCGTGGCAACTTTCATAACGATCCCAACGAACATTCTTTTGAGAAGGTTCCTGATACCATCCCTGTGCCTTCCACTGTTTCGGCACGTATGTGAACACATTTGGGACTAAAAGGGTTTACTAGAATCCCACCACTCCACCACAGAGTCACCGCAGTACACGTGAGATGAGCGCTGTCGCTCCGCGGCACTTGTTAACTAGTTGAGAACCAATCTTATCAGGTAAGAATTTGACGATACATTTAGTACCGTTAGTACTTACTTCTAATGTAAAAAAATTTCAACCAAAATTTACCATAGACCATATACACCATAGAAAATTCGTCACGTAGTCAATTTCAATAAATCCTTTCACCACTCACCTATTTTGCTGCAGGAAATCATCCTTTAGCAGTTTGGCAATTTCTAATGTGATCTTGTCTACTTCTGCTAATGAAGCCTACAAAAAATAAACACTTATAATTTGCTATGCATAAATAGACAAATATGGTTTATTATAACACTAATTATCAATAAAACACAATAATTACTAACAATGAAGTTCATGAAATGACAGCAGATAATAACTAGCTCCAGCAAACTTCAACGAAGCAAGTCATAAGCAGCGAGATGTGAAATGGATGTGTTTTTGATATAATAAAAGGTTTTCTTACCTTGCCTACTAGCTGCACAATTTCTGATAAGTCTTCTTCCTCTTGAAGGATTTCTCGTGTCTGAAATTGACCATTTATTTTGCACAGAAATCTAGGAAATGAAGAAAGACTAGTAAAGCAATGTGTGTGCGATAATAAAATCATGATGCCGATATTCACGTGCAAAGTTATGTCCAAACTAATGCATTTAATTTCAAGTGAACTAGTGTGCAAAAGATGAAGAATTCGGAGAATCACGAAAACTATCCTTTCCGCTTTCAAATCTCTGCAGTGTATATATAGCCATGCAGGATTACCTTGTTCCTAAGTGGAATGAATTCAGGAAAGTTCTTGTCATAGAACTCATCCAGCACTCTCATGTACTTGCTGTAGCTAATGAGCCAGTTAATCGAAGGGAAATGCTTCCTCTGAGCCAGTTTCTTATCCAGACCCCAGAACACTTGCACAATGCCCAGGGTTGCCGAAGTGACGGGATCAGAGAAATCACCACCAGGTGGTGACACACTAGAGACAAAATAGAACCAAACAGGAAGCATTATAAAATCGTCTAAACACATCTTTTTTATCATTCACAATGAATTAAACATTATAAATTACTTGGTCCTATTAGTCAAGGGCTTTCTTTTAATGTGCCATATGCAATAGGTGAACAATTGTCAGGAAAAAATCATAAATTGATAATTCATTTTTTTGTAAAAGCTCAAGCTTGATGTTTGGTATATGAATCATGTAAGCACACCTGTATTTTGATGGCATGCCATTATAGGTATTACGCTAGACACGGCGATTCCAAGGTTTTACAATTTAAATAATTTTAGTGAAACTTTAAAGCCAAACGGAAAATGTAAAAGTCAATGACTCTTGATACTTACGCCCCAACAATGCTGACACTTCCCTCTCTGGCTGGATTTCCTAGAGCCTTCACACGGCCTGCACGCTCGTAGAATGATGCCAATCTTGCTCCAAGGTAAGCAGGGTAGCCAGAATCTGGGGGCGTAACGATTCATTATGCCATCACTCAGCATTCCAAGATCAATAGCATATATATATATTAGTACATGTTTTCAATAACAACAGCAGCCTTACACAACATTTTATGGTGTTCATTTTCATTCATATTGTAGCATATGTTTTACGGATGTAGTTTTTAGGAGCTATGCTACTATAGGGAACTATAGTTTCATTGTGATTAGTAGCTCAGAGTAGTGGTTATCCGGGACTTGTTTAATTAGTAATAATTTGGTAGACCAGCAGGTATATTGATATTTGTAGCAGAGACTATTCGAGCATTTAGAGTTATTTATCATTGCGTTGCTTAATAATTGTAGAGTGCAGACAGAGGGAGACGGTTAAGGGTGACATGTCGGGGATAATAGGGGCATAAATACTTTATTCAAGAGAAGGACGGTGCAGTTGATTGGAAGTCAATAGTCGTGTTGGTCTGTTTTGGTACTTGTGATATTTAAAATAATACTCGTTGGCTGAAGACAACTCAATTCCAAATTATAATATATATACACTCTGGTGTGATAAAAAGAGTTACACTATTATTAGATTCATCAATATCCTGGATACAACACAGACTTTTACATTGTCCAGTGCCGATATGCACTTCTACGCTACATCAATAATCTTTACCCACACATTATGCACTAGAACATTTTCATAAATAACAATCTCAAAACTAATATTAACTAGAAACGAGCAGTTGTCGCCAACTACATGTATCCCCCGTGATCTAGTATGAATGGAATATCTCTGTAAGGACGTAGAAGGCAGGTAAAGTTAAATAAAGTCACAAAGACAAAGGTTGTTAGACAAGCTGTGTGGCCTCAGATGTGCAAGTATATGGAAATCTGGTTACCCTAGGAGGCCGAAGGACAATGATATTGTCGACGGTGAAGGTCAAACTAAGGCTCAAGGGCAGTGGTGGTTTTGGTATGCGGCAGACCTTCTCCCCAAGATGTGTAAGCATACCAAGTTTGGTCACGCTAGGTCAATTAGGGGCTGAGTTAGAGAGGCGGAAGGGAAACTATGATCAAGGTCAAGGTAAAGGTGAAAATAAAGGGTCGCAGTGACCCTGGTGGGTCAGTTTTTAACCCGATCTCGGATGATTCTGGTAAAATTTGGCCATGAAAGGTGCGTTATGCGGTAAACGAAGTACGCCAATTGCGCCGGTTTTGGTGTGGCGGAGTCATC